CTAGGTACAATGCAGGCCTGATTCCCCACAGGAAAACCTCTCCATGGGTGTGGTCCTGTATGCCACTCACTTCCCACAGGTTTTCCACGTGGAGGCTGAGCTACATTTCCATGCCATGCAAAATGGTTCCCTAAACTTATGGAACCTCCACTGTTTATGTGGCTCATTGTTAACCAAAACATTCTTACACTGTGCATAGCTGTATTCATAATGTTATGCAATCTTCACCATTATAGTATAACTCCAGAATGTTTTTGTAACCCTCAAAAGAAACCAAATACCCATTAAAGAGCCATATCCCTATCTTCCCTCCCTGCAGTCCTGTACAACTACTCACCTACCTTCTGTCTCTATGGACTGCCTATTCTGGACACTTACGTGGACTTTTGTGTGTGACTTTCTTCAATAACATAATGTTCATAGGTTCATTCATCCTGTAGTATGTATTGGTACTTCACTTGTTTTTATGACCAAATAATGTTCCATTGCATTGATATGCCACATTTTCTTTATCCATTCATCACTTGAAGGATATTTGGGTTGTTTCCACTTTTTGGTTATTATGCATAATGCTTCTATGAACATTTGTGTACAACTGTTTGTGTGAACATATGTTTTAAAGTCCTAGAAATAGAATTGTTAGGTCATATGGTAACTTTGTATTTAAGTTTAGAGGAACTGCCAAACTATTTCACAAGTATATATATAATCTCATCATTAATATATATTAAAGTAGTTTTGAGGAAGTCACCACCTTGTCTTCTAGAGTAAATAAAATATAATGTTTATGTTGATAACTTAAATAGAAGACCCTCACCCTAGCACAGAAAGAAATGCTAATCATAAAGAAGAGTAAGAAGGAAAAGATATATTATGCTAAAAGGTTCAATGGACTTAACTGATATATATAGAACCTTTTGTCCTAAAGAAGCAAAATACACATTCTTTTCAAATGCATGTGGAACATTTTCAAAGGTAGACCACATGATAGAACACAAAACAGGCCTCAACAAATTCAAGGAAACTGAAATCACATCAGGCATTTTCTCATACCGCAAGGGCCTGAAACTAGAGACCAACCTCAAGGAAAACACTCAAAAACATCCAAATTCATAGAGATTGAATAGCATACTATTAAACCATGAATGGGTTAATAATGAGATCAAGGAAGAAATCAAAAAGTTTCTGGAAAAAAATGAAAATGAACACATAACAGTCCAAAACTAATGGGACACAGTGAAGGCAATCCTGAGAGGGAAGTTCATAGCAATACAAGCCTACCTTAAAAAGATAGAAACATTTCAAATAAACAACCTAACCCTACATTAATAATAACTGCAGGAAAACAACAAACAAAGCCCAAAGTCAGTAGAAGGAAGGAAATAATCAAGATCAGAGCAGAATTAAATAACGTAGAGACTAAAAGAATAATTCAAAGGATCAATAAATCTAGAAGCTGGTTCTTTGAAAAGATATACAAAATCAACAAGCCTTTAACCAGACTCCACAAGAAAAAAGAAAGAGAGAGAGGGAACCAAAATAAATAAAATCAGGAGTGGAAGAGGAGAGATTATAGCTGATACCACAGAAATACAAAGTATGGACTTAACTGATGTATATAGAACCTTTACTAAGAAATTACTACAGACAACTATATGCCAAGAAATTTGAAAACCTAGATAAAATGGACAAATTTCTAGAAAAATGTAATCTTCTGAAACAGAATGAAGAAGCAGTAGGCAGCTTGAACAGACCAATAGCAGCTGGTGAAATTGAAGGAGTAATCAAACTCCTGGTATACAAAAGCCATGGACTGGACTCAGTAGAATTTGACAAAATGTTTAAGGAAGAGCTAACCCTTATCCTTCTCAAAACATTCCAAGAACTCCAAGAAGATGGAAGACTCCCAAACTCTTTTTATGAAGCCACCATCATCCTATCCCAAAACCAGGTAAAGACACAGCAGAAAAAAAACTACAGACCAATATCACTGATGAACATAGATGCTAAAATCCTCAAAAAAAATATTGGCAAACTGTACCCAGCAATACATTAAAAAGATCATACACCATGATCAAGTGGGATTTATCCCAGGAATGCAAAAGTGGTATAATTTTTGCAAATCAATAAATGTAATACATCATATAAACAAGAAAAGACAAAACCACATGATCATATCAGTAGATGCAGAAAAAAGATTTTATAAGGTACAGCTTCCATTTATTATAAAAAACACTCAGCAAAGTGAGAGTACAGGGAGCATACCTCCACATATAAAGGTATTATATGAAAAACCTGTGGCCTACATCATACTCAATGGGCAAAGACTAAAAACTTTCTCACTAAGATCAGGAACAAGACAAGGATGTCCACTTTCACCATTTCTATTCAACATAGTATTGGAAGTCCTAGCTACAGAGATGAGACAAGGGAAAGGAATAAAGGGAATACAACTTGGAAAGGAGGGAGTAAAACTGTCACTGTTTGCAGATGACATGATCATGCACATAGAAAATCCTATAGACTCCACCAAAAAACTGCTCAACCCAATAAGTTAATGTGTCAAAACAGTGGGATACAAAGTCAATATTCAGAAATTGAGTGCAGTTTTGTACACTAACAATGAAATATCAGAAACCAAAATCAGGAAAAAAATCACATTTGCTCTGGCAACACAAAAAATAAAGTATCTAAGCATAACCTAACCAAGGAGATAATAGATGTACTCAGAAAACTACACAACACTAAAGAAAGAAATTAAGGAAGACACAAATAAATGGAAGCATATACCACATTCATAAACTGGAAGAATTAACATCATCAAAATGTTTATACTAGCTAAAGCAATTTTTTTCAGTTGAAATACTCATTTAATGAATAAGAATTTTATATTCAGCAATGTTCAGTACCAGGAGAAATACTGACTTACTACTTTTATGACACTTTGTAGTACTTCATCATCTTTTGATAAATTCTCTTAAGACTGCTTTAATTTTTCTTACCATTCCCAGGACCATGAAGGGAAAAATCCTGGGAAATGTATTTATAAATTATCTAAGTAAACATAACATGATACATGCATAGCCCACTTTTTATCAACTAGATATCCAGACCACATATCCTCTTTTAACTATACTTAACTTCCCAAAATATGCAAATTAAAATCTATTCCATGCAATGTACTGGAATCACTATTCTTTGTACAACCAAAAACACACTAATACCCCAAAAGAGGCTGGCAATTCCATATATCATTTATTTGTCGTTGAAATTTGAGTTCCCTTTTTAAAAAAAAAGGAGTGGACCCAAAGCGCTTTATACATTCAATGCAATCCCTATCAAAATACCAATGACATATTTCACAGATATAGAACAAACACTTCAAAAACTTATATGGAACCATAAACAACTTGGAATAAGCTCAGCTTTTTGACAAAGAAGACCAAAGTAAGAGGGATCACAATACCTGAAATCAAACTACATTATAAGGCCATGGTAATCAAATCAGTCTGGTACTAGCATAAGAACAGATACATAGATCAATGGAACAGAATAGACAGCCCAGAAATAAACCCTTGTCTCCATGGTCAATTAATATTTGACAAAGGGGGCAGGAACATAAAATGTAGTAAAAATAGCCTCTTCAACAAACAGTGTTGGGAGATCTGGACAGTTACATGCAACAAAATGAAACTCGAGTACTAACTTACACCATACACAAAAATAAACTCAAGATGGAAAAACACTTAAGTCATAATACCATAAAAGTTCTACAGGAGAACATACTCAGGAAAACCTCACATATTCAGTGCTGCAATATCTTCACTGCTATGTCCACTAGAGCAAGGGACATAAAGGAAATGATAAACAAATGAGACTACATCAAAATAAAAAACTCTTGCACAGCTAAAGAAAACATAAACAAAATGAAAAGGAAACCAACCATATGGGAAAATATATTTGCAAATGATACCTCAGACAAGGGTCTAATCTCCAAAATACATAAAGAACTCATAAGACTCCACTCCAGAAAGACAAAAAAACCCAATTCAAAAATGGGCAAAGGACATGAACAGACACTTCTCCAAGGAGGACATACAGAGGACCCAGAGACACATGAAAGGATGCTCAGCATCATTAGCCATCTGAGAGATGCAAATTAAAACCACAATGAGATACCACTTCACCCCAGTCAGAATGGCCATCATAACCAAGTCAACAAACAAGTGTTGGAGAGGATGTGGAGAAAAGGGAACCCTAGTACATTGTTGGTGGGATTGCAGACTGGTTCAGCTACTGTGGAAAACAGTGTGGAACTTTTTCAGAAAACCAGAAAAGGAACTGCCTTTTGACCTGGCAATTCCACTGCTGGGATTATACCCTAAGAATCCCGAAACACTGATTCAAAAGTACCTATGCACCCCAATGTTTATAGCAGCACCATTTACAATAGCTAAGTGTTGCAAGCAACCAAAGTGCCCATCATTGAATGAGTGGATCAAAAAACGATGGTACATTTACAAAATGGAATACTACAACTACACAGCAGATAGAAGGAAGGAGCTCCTACCCTTTATGACAGCAAGGATGGAGCTGGAGAGCATGATGCTAAGTGAAATAAGCCAGGTGGTGAAAGACAAATATCACATAATCTCACTCATAAGTGGAACCTAATCAACAAAAGAAACAAGCAAGCAAAATATAACCAGTGACATTGAAATAAAGAACAAACTGACAGTAACCTGAGGGGATGTGGGGGTGGATAACTGAGGAGAAGGGGAAAGGGTCATCAAGGAACATATATGAAGGACACATGGAGAAAGACAAATGGGGGCAGGATCAAGGGTGCTGCAAGGGGGAGTTGTGGGGGACAAAGGGAGACACCTGCACTTGAACAAAAATAAAAAGAATGTTATGGGAAGGCTGACTCATTGAAGGACAGATTAAGTAAACTTGTAAAATAATGACTAAAGTGTTCTCTCTTTTCTCCTAATTTTCCCTCATTTTTTGAAGAAAAAGAAAATCTTTTGGAGTGTGTCCTTGAAGGCTTGTTTTACTTGCTGGTTCCTTAGAGTATAAATGAAAGGATTTAATAAAGGGGCAACTGAGGTATAGATAACAGCTACACCTTTCGATAAAGTCACCCTCTCCTTTGCTGATGGCTTCATGTAAATAAAGACACAGCTACCATAAGTAAGGGAGACTACAATCATATGGGAAGAACAAGTGGAAAAAGACTTTGTTCTTTTTTGAGTGGAGGGGATCTTTAGGATGGTCTTGATAATACATGCATAGGAAAGAATCACTAACAGCAATGTGAGCACAAGTGTTACAACAGCTGACACAAATGAAACTAATTCTAGGAAATGAGTGTCTGTGCAAGAAATCTGCAGCACAGGGGAAGTGTCACATATGAAATGATCGATGACGTTGGAAGCACAAAATTCCAGTTTCAGTCCCAAGACCAGTGGTGGAAAGGTAATCAAAAAGCCAGCTGTCCATGAACTGAGTACGAGTTGGTAGCATACTTTGTTGCTCATAATGATTGGGTAATGGAGAGGTTTGCAGATTGCTAAATAACGATCATAAGACATGGCAGCCAGTAGGTAAAATTCTGTAACTCCAAATAAGAGGAAAAAGAATAACTGAGATGCACAACCATTATAAGAAATAATTTTGTTTTTAGTCAGTATGGACATCAGGAATCTGGGAATACAGATTGTTGTCAATGAAACCTCTAGGAAGGAGAAATTTCGCAGAAAGAAATACATAGGAGTCTTGAGACGGGGATCCAACAAGGTAAGGAGGATTATGGATAAGTTCCCCATCACACTAAACATATAGTTTAGAAAGAGGAATATAAAAATCACAATTTGCAGATGTGGCTCATCAGTCAGTCCCAGGAGAATAAATTCTACTCTTGACTGATTGTTCATTTCAGATATGAGTCCTGTCAAAGAGACAAAGAAACACAAGTCCAAGAGTGAAAATAACAAGAATGTTAAAAGCTTCAGATGTAGAAAATATTCAGAAATCTAAACAAAGTTTAAAAGGTTGATTCAATTTGAGAAAACAGACAATACCTAAAATAATAGCTTCAATAAACTAAGCAGCCTCTAACTGACTGTTCCATTTAAACCAGCTAACTTTTACAATACTTCTTTCTTTTCCCCATTTGAACTTGAAAGAGAATTTAAACTTGAGCCAATCATTTTCAGATGAGCTGAATTTGTTTCAATGTTCTAAATAAGGAAAGCATGAATATTATTGGATAATTGCTCTCTATGCTTATTTCATACATACACTATTGACAAAGTGTAACATCTAAAGTTATACCAGTGTCAATTTGCAATGATTTTTCAGCTCATCAAAACACTTTTTAAATATGTGGAGCATATAAAAACCATAACAGTTACATATGTTCTCTGTGATTGAAATACTCTAATATATATCATTAATTACTTGTCCCAGTGTGGCTCTTTTACATTGTTCCTTTATCTCATTTCATATGATTATTATTTTTTTAAACATACGCACTTTTTAAAAAGATTTTATTTATTTATTTTTAGGGAGAGAAGGAAGGGAGAAAGAGAGAGAGAGACAAACATCAATGTGTGGTTGTTGGGGGTCATGGCCTGCAACCCAGGCATGTACCCTGACTGGGAATCAAACCTGCGACACTTTGTTTCACAGCCTGCACTCAAACCACTGAGCTATGCCAGCCAGGGCTTCACGTGATTATTTTTATTTAGTTTCAAATGTATCAGTCTCCTCTTAGTTGCATTTAATCAGAAGGTTTTGACTGTCCAATCTACATAAAATAGAAAAATATATAACACTTCAAAAGCCAGTGGATATTACTTGACTTGTACTTGCATAATTGCTTTCACTTATGATCTAGATATTTATTCCAAATTATAAGTGACTTACCGTAGTAGTACATATTAATGTAATTCTCCCTATGAGAATATGGTAAAATCAGACGTCAAAATAAATGATAAATATCTACCTCTTAGACTATGAAATATTCCATTTTTAAGAGGAACTTGAATTTCAATGCATTTCTGGAGAAGAATTTGAAACAGGCATGCAATCTGCAAATTGTATACATCTGCTAATATCCTCCACATTCATTCACACTCATTAAAGCCACAGGAACCAGATATTATAGATAATTCCACTAGATTCCTCTCTTATGCTAGATAAAATTCATTTTCTTTTCTTTCTTACATATAACTTTTAAACCTTCATAAAAATTCAAAATGAAAATGTGATGCTTTAAGTGAAAAGATGTTTTGAAAAATATCTCAAGTGAAAGGAACCCAGTTAAACACAAATAAAAGCTACAGCTTTATCATTTTGCTCATAATGTACACAGAGGAATTAATTGAAATAAAAAGAGGGGGAAAAAAGAAATGCCCTCTGGAGACTAGTGTCAGGACATACCAATTATTAAAAGAGAGAGAGGGAAGAAGAAGAAAACAAAGAAAACTTGAAATAAAAACCATAGTGAATTGCTTTAACTACAAAACTGAAGGGCATCCTCCCTAAAGAACTAGAAATAATTTAAACTCTACACTTAATGCAAACAAGAATTTCAGATATTCCACTGGGACAATATAGCCAATTCTACTGATAAGAGGGTTTACCCCCCAAAGAGCCTCTCTTATTTCCATTAGTGAATTTGTCAGAATTCCATAACTTGGCTGTGATCCACCCCCAAAACGAGGGTAGGAGGAGGCAGTACTTAAATGTTTCCTTGTTTCCATATTATTTTGAAACAATATAAAATATAAAGAAAAACAAAAAATACATAATAAAGGTCTTTTATTCCTAAACCATTTGGTGTTCCAGCTACTACTCACTAATGTAGTTTGAATATATGACAAAAAGAAGATTCCATTAGATAAGCACAATACAACCACCACTATTAAACATTAATATACACCATTAACATGGTGTAATTTTCCCATCTTATTCAAGTTTCACTGAGTGTCTAAAATTTTTCTTTATAGTAAAAAGGAATACTGTTCAGAATTACATGTTTCATTTACTTGTTATATACATATAACAAGTAAATTTTCTTTATAGTAAATTTTATATAAATTTATATATATAAAATTATTATAAATAATTTACTATAAATTTTTCTTTATAGTAAAAAGGAATACTGTTCAGAATTACATGTTTCATTTACTTGTTATATAACAAGTACATATTATTTACTTGTTAATTTGGATGGTCCCCGAGTCTTTCCTTAACTTTCAAGAATGGTACATTTACACAATGGAATACTACGCAGCCCAAAGAAAGAAGGAGCTTCTACCCTTTGTGACCACATGGATGGAACTGGAGAGCATTATGCTAAGTGAAATAAGCCGGGTGGTGAGGGACAAATACCATATGATCTCACCTTTAAGTGGAAACTAATCAACAAAACAAACAAGCAAGCAAAATATAATCAGAGACATGGAAATTAATAACAATCTGACAGTGACCAGAGGGGAGGTGGGAGGGGATAATGGGGAGGAAAGGGGGAAGGGTTTTCAGGGACAACTATAAAGGACACATGAACAAAACCAAGGGGGGGTGGAAGCAGGCGAGGGAGGTGGGGATGGCTGGGGTGAGGGGGAGTTGTGAGGAATAAATGCAGACAAATGTACTTGAGCAACAATAAAATAATTTTTTAAAAACAGGACCCAGTGACTGATATGTACAACATATGCATGAGCCTCTAATCATTATGCTAAGTGAAAGAAGCCAGACCCAAAAAGATACATACTGGGAAAGACAAAACTATGGGCTCAGTAAGTCAGTTGTGCCAAGGAATGCAGTGCAGGGGAAGCACTGACTACAAATGGGAACAGGAGGATTATTTGAGTAATAGAGCTGCTCTATATTTTGATTGTGGAAGTGGTTTCACAACCATATGCTTTTGTCAAAATTCATAGAACTGTACACCAGAAAGGGTAAAAACTAGATCATGTAAATTATGCCTCATAAATAAATAAGCACATGCACTGGTAAAGAAAGAGAATGTTGTTGAAAATTATTTTCCAGAAATTACATATATTTCCCTCAATTTTGGTCTGAAATTTCTGCATGATTATATTCAATTTACTGACCTTAGACAGGAATACCACAGAAGTGACTATGTCTTCTCATGAAATCCTATTAAGGATCACACCATTTCATTTTTTCTAATTATTGATAATATTTTCTTTTATTTCTCGGTTAATGTGGCTATTTTTAGGATTTACTGTAATAAATCTACATTTTTAACTTTATAATTAAGAAGTACTTTGTATAGATATTTTGGATGCTATGCAAATATCTGACTCTTCATAAAACTTCCAATTTATATATTACTTTATATCAGGATAGACTCAGGGTTTCAATTATTTTTTAAGTGTTTTTACTGTTGTTCAGGTACAGTTGTCTCCATTTTCCCCCTTCCCCTCCCCTCACCCCAGCCATCCCTACTTCCCATCCTTGATCCTATCCCATTTGTTTTTTTCCAGGTGTCCTCTTCCCATGTTCTGAAAACACTTCCCCTTTTCTCACTATTATCTCCTCCCACCTGTCATCTTGTTACTGTCCATTTGTTCTTAATTTCAGTGTCTCTAGCTATATTTTGGTTTCTTGTTTGTTCTGTTGACTAGGTTTCACTTATAGGTGAGATCATGTGGTATTTGTCTTTCATCACTTGGCTTATTTCACTTAGCATCATGCTCTCTACTTCCATGCATGCTGTTGGAGAGGTTAGGAACTCCTTCTTTCTTTCTGCTGCAGAGTATCCCATCATGTAAACGTTCCATAGTTTTCTGACCCATTCATTTACTGTTGGGCACTTAGGTTGCTTCCAACATTTGGCTATTGTAAATTGTGCTGCTATGAACATTGGAGTACATAGGTTCTTTTGAATTGGTGTTTCAAGATTCTTAGGGTGTAATCCCAGTTGTGGAATTGCCAGGCCAAAAGGCAATTCCATTTTTAGTTTTCTGAGGAAGTTCCACACTGTTTTCCACAGAGGCTGAACCAGTCTGCATTCCCACCAACTATGTGCAAGGGTTCTCTTTTCTCAACAACCTCACCAACACTTGATTTTTTATTTGATTATGATGACCATTCTGACCAGCGTGAAGCGGTATCTCATTGTGGTCTTAATCTGTATCACTCAGATAGCTAGTGATGCTGAGCACCCTTTCATATGTCTCCTGGCCCTCTTTATGTCCTCCTTGGAGAAGTGTTTGTTCATGTCCTTTGCCCATTTTTGTATTGGGTTGTTTGTCCTTCTGGAGTGGAGTTGTATGAGTTCTTTATATAATTTGGAGGTTATACCCTTGTCCGAGATATCATTTGCAAATATATTTTCCCATACAGTTAGTTCCCTTTTCATTTTGCTGTTTTTTTTAGCCATGCAGAAACTTTTATTTTTATGAAATTCCACTTGTTTATCCTTTCCTTTATGTACCTCACTGTAGGGGACATATTGGTGAAAATATTGCTGTGTGGGATATCTGAGATTTTCTGGCTTATGTTCTCCTCTAGGACTTTAATGGTGTCACAACTTATATTTAAGTCTTTTATCCATCTTGAGTTTATTTTGGTATGATGTAATTTGGTGGTTGTGTTTCTTGCTGCATGTAGCTGTCCAGATCTCCCAACACTATTTGTTAAAGAGGATATTTTTACTGCATTCTATGTTCCTGTCCCCTTTGTCAAATATTAATTGACCATAGAGGCTTGTGTTTATTTCTGGACTCTCTGTTCTGTTCTATTGATCTATGTATATCTTCTTATGCCAGTACTAAACTGTTTTGATTACTTTGTCCTTATAATATAGTTTGATATCAGGTATTGTGATCCCTCCTACTTTGTGCTTTTTTCTCAAATTTACTCTGGCTATTCAGGGTCATTTATGGTTCCACATAAA